CAGACCTGATAATTTGTAAGTGATATACTAAACCCAGAAAGTACAGTTATGTTTCTTTTCTGGATTGTAATTGAGAATAAAACAAATATGCTTCCTTCAGTAGAGAAGACCAAAGGGGGGGATGGGGAAATAGCCATTTGGAGAGTGTAACTTGTGCCCTGGGAACCTGTCTGTCTTGTCAGCTGTGATCACAGCTCTGAGATTGCTGGCTGTCTCTGATGGGATCACTTTCAGCAAAGACCCGGACAGCTTTGCTCAGTTGTGACTGAAAAGATTTCTGGTTTGTTTGTTTGTTTTCCTCTTGCAGCTTTATAGCTCATGCCTTTGTCGCCTTGAGAATGGCCTATGATAATATGTTACCTTGGAAGGCTTTAATGTTTATTAAAAATTATCATTTTTGCAGTTGGATATTGTCAGTGTCAGCTAATTTATTTTGCTGAAAGTATCTTAGTTGGGTGAAATCACCCATTTAAGTCTCAAACAGCCATACGTGGTTTGGGACTTGCCTGTCTGGCGTCTCTGCCCAGCTAGTCCTGCCCTTGTGCCTCACGTTTGAAACCAGCATAAATCCTGATTTCCAGCTCTCTCAAGGAGTGTTGGAAACAGTCCTTGATGTGAACAGCCGGTAAGCAAGCATGGGAGGCATCTCTAGAGATGAGCTTCTCTGTTCAGAATACATCTTCCTTGTGCTGGAGCAAACTGGAGTAGATTGCACATTGCTAGTGGCACACTCCATATTGGGTAGAGTTCCTTTTGCTGTAGACACAATTGTGGTTGCATGGTTGACTCAGTTCACACTAATAAATGAGTAAAATTTTGTTATGCATCTTTAATACAGGAAAAGATTGATATAGCAATCTTTGTAGATCTCACTTTCCCCAAGGCCTTCCTTAATTTACTGCCTCTGCTTTTATAAAAATCTTGAAGATGTTAGGAACAAGAAGGAAGAAGAATGTCTTGGCTGGAACATCTGTTGTTTTGTTAAAAGAAAAAAGGTGGGTGGGGAAGCATTATAATCTTGGGAAAGTGTCGGCTTACTGTGAAATATTGTATCCTAGAAACAATGTGGAAAGTTCAGAACTTTCATTATTTAAGCGTATTGTTTTTTTTCTCATGGACGTGGCTTGGACTTCTGAGGTGAACAAACTGACTAGGTCCATCTTCTGCTTTTCCCTATAACATGTTTTATTTAGGATTCTGGTGAAGGAGAGCAGTTGTGTGACACAGAACTCTTAACCATGCAGCTCTGTTGTAGGTCATTCATTTGTGATAAACACTTCATGTGGCCACAGTCATCTTCACTTCCCATATTGGTCCTCCTCAATCCACCTAGATTTTTGTACAACAGATATTCATTACTGATGCTCCAGTCATGTACCTTCCCCCACCCTGCCCCTTCCCAATCCTTTCTCTGGCTTCCTTTTATCTTCTGGGTCTCATCCTCTCTGAGAACTGCGGCGATGTTGCAGACCCTGACATTTATCTGTTATCCTAGGTTTCTTGATACATGCAACTGCGTCCTTTCTCACATGTGCTTCATATTTTCTGCCTGTCATTTCATGTTGCACACAAGTCCAGTCAGCTGTAATTGCTTAACAAAAATATATGTGCTAATACAAAGCTAGAAAGAAAGTGCTTATATTGCTGGAGTTATTTGCAAGAAAGCCTTCAAACAAGTTGCAGAAGATAGTGTGTTACTGCAAGGTTTGCTGAAATAACTAAACCTTTAAAAAGTTTTAAGGACTGATGAACTTGTCAAATTTTGTATGGCACATGACTATTACTCCATAATAGCAGGCACCTCTGCAACAAAAGGAGAGGGGTAATGAGGGAGAAATGTAGATACACTTTGCTTTAATTATCTTTACATTTTTATCTAGTGTTTCAGTGCTCTCTCCTTCCCTTCCTGAATCAAACTTTTGAATTGTGTACATTAGTTCTGTTGTTTCTTTTTTTTTTGCTAATGATTTGTTAGCAAGATTAGACATCTGTTAAAAATGTTAAGAGGCCAGAGGCCAAACACATTATTTTCTTTGAAAACTGCAATGAACATTTGCCAGTATATGTAAAAACTTGTTCAACCTTCTATCATTTTTAGAGCAACCTTCAATCATTTTAGAATATTTGATTTAGTATTACAATTCAGGGTTATATTCCTTTGCAGAATAATATATGGAGGGCAAGCTTGCAGAGCTCAAAGTTAGGAAATCAATCTCTTTACTGGTAAACTGAGCAAATTTATTTTTAAAGACAAACAGAATTGCTGATGCAGTCTTAACTGTCCCTTTCAGACAAGTCTTGTTTTACATGAAATCCTAAGGCATCGAAGCTGCATAGGGTTGGACTAAATTTGTTCTGTTGTTTTCATTTTTATGATTAAGGAGCAAATAATGTCTGAGTCTGGGATGTCTGTATGTTGCTATTTTTCTATGAGACAGTTGAAAAAGTGTAAGAACTGGTTGGAGTGTAAGTACTTCATTGAGAAGGCTCCATAGTGGGTGACGTATTTAAGGTGCGCTGTTTAATTCCTGAAAGATATAGTTTAGGTTTGATTAATGGATTCATAAATTCATGCTAAATAATATCAGTATCTTTGACCATAGAAAAATAACAAAACTCCTGAAACATTATGTGATTATCTATCATCCATTCATCCATCTATCTATCTACATGTATATAGATGTTTGGGGTTTTTTACCAATAAAACATAGAAGAAAAGGCATTGGTTAGACCCCAAATCTTTTTCTTTAATTTGTATCCAAAACAAAACAAAAGGAAGGAATTTCAGATTGATTGAGGATGAAACGAAAGGAAAAAAAAATCAAACACCCTTGCATTCAGTTGGGCAGCAAAATGAAGAAAACTGTTATTTTAATACACATAAGTCAGTGTGACATTGCCAGGGAGGGATGGGAGCGTTGAGTCGATAAGTGGCGTGGAACTCAAACAAAGATTTTCCATTTTATTTGAAATAGCTAAATACCATATTGTAATCTTTCTGTCATTTTTTTTAGGTGTGATTATTAACCATTTATGATACTTTTGCAAGTGTCCGTGGTATTTCTTAGACAGAAAATATATCATTTTAATTGCTTGTTAATGTCTAACAATTACAGAAAATTGGTTTTCTGATAGACAATTCACAATTTATCCTTTATATACCCCACACTTGGAAAATTTTATGTAATTGGATGCATAAAATGTGTTTCTTAGTAGTTACAAACACCCCCACCAAAGACATACAGTTGTAAACTGCAGTCTGTTCATGAAGTTTCTCCAGGATATGCACAATTGGCTAGAAGTGACAGTAATTTCAAAGCAAGTACTATGGCTAAATGTAGGCTATTACATTCTATCTCCAAATACTGTAAGAAGCATTTACTTGGTGTTTGAAATCCTCCTTTGTTTGTTGAAGAGTCATTTATGGAGGGAATGACTTACGTGACTCCTCTCAAAACTTGACTAAATCTGCACAACGAAATAAGATTGCAATCATTATTAATGTCATCACACAAAGATTCTCTAGCTTTTGGAACAATTTTAGAACAAATATTTGAAAGGGTAAACACCACCAGTTACTTTACTAGCTTGGGTCTTTTGCATATGAAATAGCCCATAAAAAGAGCCTTAGTAAGGTGCATGGTCAAAAATTAGATGATACAGTAACTGAGAATTCCTGTGCAAGCTTAATTCAGTCCATGTGTTTGCATTTCGTGATCACATTCTCCTTTTTTATTCTGTAGAACTGTGTCTCTTTTAATGTATAGATTGGATAGTAATCACTAAGCAGCTGCTCAGTATTTTGTCCTCTTACTGTTGAGGGTGTGACTCTAGATCTGACTTAGGGCATGCTGTTCAAACCCTCCTCTGAAAATACCTGTGTCTATGCATATTTTTCTGTTTTGCTCATCACTACAGTAAATAAAGGATTTTAAGGTCACTAATTTGTCGTCTTCCCCTCTGTATGAGGAAGGGCATGTTTTAATCCTCGTCTTACAGATGGGAAGCTGAGATACAGTTGCACAGGCAACCTTTAATTCTTGAATGCTTTATTTTACAACTGTATGAATTAGTTTTATATTAGGAAAAGAGGGCAAATGAGAAGTGTAATTTCCTAGGTGTTAAAAAAGGAGTCAACCCGTCTCAAATACCTTTGTCTGTTTCTGTCTTTTCCCTTTTCTTCTATTTTCCCTTCCCGTGTATGAAAGGCATCTTGGTATCTTAGCTGAGACCTTTGTTTTTCGTTGGGAAGTAGGAAAGCTTGATTTTACAAAAGTGCTAAAATTAATTTGAGGTTCCTCCTTTTTTAATAGCATTTTTAGGAATTTTACTAAATAGTGACTTAATAAATAAGAAGTCACCTCTATACAAGAACAAAATGTTAACTTGAAAGTAATTTCTACTTTTTTCTAGGGATTATTGGTAAAATAGAAATAATTAAAAACATACATCATTCCTAAACTTGAATTTTATTGCAGCTAAATGGAACACAAACGTCAGAATATCTGAGCTTTGTTCTATTATATAAGCCATGAATTTAGGCAGGGATTAAATTTGGCAAAAGTAAGTCCTTCTTTTAAGTCCTTTCCAAAGTATGTATGTTGTATTTTGGTATTTTTTGTAACTATACTCTTGCTTAGGAGAATGTTGAGAACTGTCTTAAAATGTATTTTTATCTTAACCAGGCATAACGACCTTTATTCAGTGCTAGTGGGAGTTTTCCAAGAGCACTGATGCTATGTAAATGTGGACTGTATAATTAAATCTATGAAAAAGTCAAATTTTGCATTCAAGCTTTTATTATGAAAGCCTATTCTGAAACATATATGACATTTTTAAAAGGCTGTAGAAATATTTATCTTCTGTACCTGCTAAAAATGCAGGGTTTTCTGTGTAAATTTAGGAATAGCAGCAGTATACACAAAATGCTACTATAAAGAAATGTTTGTCCTGCCTTGAAACAAGCAAACTTTCTAATGTTTTATTTGTTTGACAAACAGGTACACACGAAGTTCCACTGCAGGCAAGCCCATGCTCCAGGCACCGACACTTCATGCTTGACATTTTCCTATGACGGTACTGTCCTTGCCAGCCGGGGAGGTAGGTGATTGAAAGAACCTTTTGATGTGTTGAATGTAAGACAATTTTAACTTTACTAAGTTAAATGGTTCAGTAAACAACCATTTAAATGGTGTCATTGTTAAATGTAATTGTTTATGGTGGAGGTAAGATAGTGAAATCAGATACTAGTGATTTAAACCTGAAGTGTTTCACAATTTACGGCTTTTATTTTGATAACACCATGCAATACTGTGTTCCTGAAAGTGCACTTTATAGCAGTTAAGGAATATATTAAGAGAACTTTGCTGTTTATATTACACAGTTCCTGATCTGTCGTCTTATTTAGCATTAATAATACACCAAAAGGAAATTATTAACTTAATTAAAAATAAAACAAGACTAGTTTTGTTACTTAGTTCTTTCCAGGAGCATAACTGCATCTCAATAACAGTGTATCTGTTCTGGAGTTATTAATTCCTGAAGCAGCTTTCTATGCAATGTCCTTTTCTGTTCTAATTGTAATTTCTGTCTAATTTGTATTATAAACATCAAGAGGTGACAATTGGAAGTGAGTGGCCAAGATGTACTTGAATGGCAAAAGAATTTGAATTCTTGAAAAGAATTTCCTACGGGACAGGAAAAAAATGCTTGTTTTCTAAACCTCAGATAAAAATTTTATAAAGAAACTTTTAGATAACAGAAAAAGTCTTGAGAAGGCAAAGATATATTTGAAGACTCATTCACTTCAGTATTAGATGTACTGGACAGGATGGTGTCTGCCTAAGGCAGCTTTTCATGCAGGGATTTGTATACCCAGTGTTTTGCAGGCAGGTGCAAGCATACGATCTGAGCTGTCTGGATGGAAACCAGCTGTAACCAGAAGCTATGTGTATGCATTAGCATGGCCCCAAGGCCAAATAAACAGGCCTAGGGGAGAGGCAGTATGTGTTAATGTCGGCTAACATTGTGCCTAACGTATGTACAGGACATCTGGTCAGTTTGGTACGTAGACAGAATGAGATTACATATACAAAATACCAGGATAGAGGTAGTCATAGGCGGCAAAAGCACTGCAACAGGGGATGTGGTTCCAAGCCAAGGGCTGTAGTTTGCAATTGCTTTGTGTCCTTCCCCTCCTCCTATCCCTGATGAGTAGAGTGGCATTGGTGGCTTTTACAGCGATATGCAGCTGCTGTTGGGTGCTGCCTCTCTGACTTCTTTGTATGTCTTGCCACATTTCTAAGATTCCAGACATTACGTTCCCCAGGTCACATCTTTCAGAGTGAGATGATGGTAGTCTTGTCCTCAACCCCCCTAGGCTTACTAGGGCGTGCTAATGGCACTTGGATTGTTTCTTAATTGCTGTTCCGGCTCCTGCATCCAGAGTTCTACTGCCACTGTACTCATCATGCATGACTCCTAAGTGGTTGAGGTAAAAACTTGCAACCTTGCTGGTCCTTACTGAACCAGACACTTACTATGTGAGAACCTTGTCCTGCTTGGAAAGTAGGTGAACCATCTGCCTTTCTGTTCTGGGCTAAGTGAAATGCTGCATCTGTCTGCCAGTGGTGGTGTCCCTGAAAAATTCACACAGACATACTTCGTAAGATTTCAATAGAAACCTCAGTGTGCTTTAAAATACTAACAGCAAACAAGGTTAATACTTATGTGAGGAATATTCACTAGTGTTGTCTTGAAACCTCCATTTATGTAAATTCTCTTATGTTTCACATTTGTGAACGTAGATGACATAAATGACCTTTGCTTAGTTTTATTGCATGTGGCACTTCTGATTACCTGCTGTTCTCATCTGTCTCCAGATTTTGTGTCGTGTTAAAAATACCTTCACTTACTTATGTTTTATTTACCACATTCTGCTCTAAGCTATATAAAATGTTGATTGATTGTTTGCAGAATGTAAGACTGTATGGAAATTTGGCCCCTCAGTGTGGATAAAAGTGCTACCTTTGTCTAGTGTATTAAAAAATAAGAGCTCTGTGTGCGCTATGCTAGAGAGTAAGGAGGATTCATACCTATTTTGACTTGTTTGGTCAGTGTTTTAATATGAGTATTGCTTTGGATCTGTACCAACAAAAGCAGATGTGGATCCAGCATTCATAGATTAACACACCTGCCAAGTGCTGAGGATCAAAGGGAGGATAGTTGTTTGGGGAATGGGGACTTTCACTGAAAGCCTGATTGACTTTCCTGCATCTGATGTAGATTCTGTGTTGGATATGAGAGAGATGAGGCAGGGCTCAGCTGCAAGCACAAGGGAAAATGAAAAGCTAAGGAGCTGCTTATGAGCGTTCCCAGTCTTACTCTTGTTGGGTATTAGGAGGTAACTTGACAGAAACTTAAGAAAGTGATATTTTTGCAGACTTGTAACCATGAAAGCAATTTTTTTCTGAATACAGTGAAGATAGTATTTGGGGAGCGTTTTCTTTGTTTAGCAGTGAAGAGGTAAGCATTAGGACTGGACTTGGGGTCCTATTATAAAAATCTAAAAAAACTTCTTTTGTCTCCTGGTATGTACAGAATTTATGGAGTTAGTTTTCTCATAATATGAAGCAATGACTTCATTAATTCCGTGAATCTCATGATAGCTATTAGTTTGATGGTTCATTTATTTTCTGTGGTATGAACTGTGTGCAGACTCAGTGCCATCTTAATCAGTAAACTTACATAGAAAAATAAGTTCACCATAGTTAAACCCAAGAAAAAATACTCACATCTAAGCCTATCGAATAGCTTATCTGTATAAGTGGTTTCCTTTGAGCGCGACATTTTTTGTTGTCTTTCCTTTTGATGTTTTTGTTTGTTTGTTTTAAGTTTTAGCTGTATTTCTCTTTTCGCAATGTTCTTGAGGAAAAGTAAAAAGTTTAATTTTTATGTTGGTTTAAAAAGTAGAAACACCTTGAGTACAGTTTCCTGTATACTCAAGGATTATGCAGCAGCATGTATAGTGACTTTCTATTTTGTGTAGAGTAATAATATATTGCACTTTATGGTAAATACAGACATTAGCATTTTAAAAATCAGACGGTCTTATGTCAAGTAATATTTCTCAGGAGCTGAATGCTGATGTTCATTTCAAACAATGCCAAAAATGCATTCATTAACTTTAATAGGTATAGTCAACTATTCGTAACACTTGGAGCCGAAATGGTTTTCTCAAAGTCTTCCAGTATAGAATCATAGAACCATAGAATAGTTTGGGTTGGAAAGGACCTCTAAAGGTCATCTAGTCCAACCCCCCTGCCATGACCAGGGACATCTTCAACTAGATCAGGTTGCTCAGAGCCCTGTCCAGCCTGACCTGGAACGTTTCCAGGGTTGGGGCATCCACCACCTCTGGGCAACCTGTGCCAGTGTTTCACCACCCTCAGCATAAAAAATGTCTTCCTTTATCTAGTCTAAATCTACCACCCTTTAGTTTAAAGCCATTCCCCCTTGTCCTGTTGCAACAGGCCCTGCTAAAAAGTTTGCCGCCATCTTTTTTCTAAGCCCCCTTTAAGGACTGATAGGCTGCAATAAGGTCTCCCCAAAGCCTTCTCTTCTCCAGGCTGAACAACCTCTCTCAGCCTTTCTTCATGTTCCATCCCCCGATCATTTTTGTGGCCCTCTTCTGGACCCGCTCCAACAGGTCTGTGTCTTTTTTGTGCTGAGGGCTCCAGAGCTGGACGCAGTACTCCAGGTGGGGTCTCACCAGAGCAGAGTAGAGGGGCAGAATCGCCTCCCTTGACCTGCTGGCCACGCTTCTTTGGACACAGCCCAGGATACGATTGGCCTTCTGGGCTGTGAGCGCACATTGCTGGCTCATGTCCAGCTTTTCATCCACCAGTACCCCCAAGTCTTTCTCGGCAGGGCTGCTTTCAATCCCTTCATCCCCCAGCCTATATTGATACCGGTATCCTTCACTTCCATATGTTTAGAGAGGATGATGCACTTAAATATTTGGCCAGGCTGGTATGGGTGCAGGTGATGGTGAGAGCTCTTCCAAGTGTAAGCGCAGAATCCCCAATTTGTGACTTCCCTCCCAGGGTCTTTGGCTTGGGGTGAGTGTGGTCCCAACCTGTGCACAGTGCCTCCGAAGGGCATTCTTTAGCTGTTACAGCTCCTCTTGCAGAACCAACGCAGAATGCAGAAGAATATACCTTGTTCTGTAAAGTGCCTCTCCTCATGTTTATAGTATAAGCCTTCACAGAAAGGCTTTATGGTGCTCCCTCATGTTAAGCTTTGTCATGCTATGCCTTTCCTTGCTGTATTTTCTTTTTTGAATTCTCATTTCCTGTGTTTCTTTGCTTTCCCCGATGATCTTTGTGAATTTCTGTCCTTGAACTTTGCTTTCAACACAGGACTCTCCCTTTAAAATAGGAACTTCTTGAAGACTGTTGCTGACTTTAGGCTTTTTGAGTTTCTGGCAGCACTTTTGCTTCTTTTGGGCCCATTTGCATCCATGTACTTGTCTTCCTGGTCAGTATCTTCTGAAAAGAAAAAAAAAATCAGATAAAATCTTTGTAGTATCAGTGCATTGGCCTTATTTTGACTAAAAGCCATTTGCAAAATGCCTATCCTGGCTCAACCAAAGACTGTTTTTCTAGCCCCTAATCATTACCTCTTGATAAATCCAGTGCTCAATACTGTCGGCATAATGGTGTCTGACCTGATCGTTTCAGACTAGAGCCTGTTTATTGGTATCCTTCTTTTTAAAATGACAAAGAACAGAGTTTGAAATGCTACTAAAAATGCTATAAAAGCTTTGAATAATCCTGCCAGGCTTTGGAGAAGTCTGCCATCAATAAAAATACTGAATGATCTGAGTGGGCTATTCTGAATGCTTCATACTGAACTGCACAACTTCCATTTATATGTTTTTATTTAAGGGTAACTATTTTTGTCAATGTATGAAGTAATTAAAAATGGATCAGTACTGCTACAACACTCATAAAGAAGCCCCTTAAGTGTCAATGGAAGGATGCTACTGGAAAAAATCTTTGGTGTTGTGGAAAGTTAATATGTCTGTTTTCTTAGTGACAGTGATTTCAAATCCAAATGCAGATTAGATTCAGGAACCAATATCGTATTTGCAACACAGAAAATTTTAATTAGAAAAAGTGAATTTGGGCAAATTCTTAACGGTGGTAAGATTTTCATAGCATTGGCCAAGTCATTCTACTAGCATTTCTCCCTTTCCAAATACTTAATCTATTTCTGCACAGTGTAAGACAGTGTTGATTTGAAATAAACAATGAGTTTTTGAGTCATTTTAGAGTCTTCTAATTTTTTAAATTAATTTTTTAAACCAGCAGACTACATTTTCTTGTTAGCAGAAGAGCTAAATGTCTGACTGCATCTCTCCTGCTAAAGCCTGGCAGGACTACAGCTTGAAGATCATGTCAAGGCTTATTCCACTGGGAACAGAACAGCCTTGGCTGCTAGCCTTAGATCTGTCCCTATCCAGTAGATTTGCAGAGTGGCCAAATGGTATCCTTTGCATACATTTATAAAGTGCTGGTGCTTTAGATATAACATCTCGCTGATAAGTGTTTTTTTGTTGGGGGTGGGAGGGGAAAGGGAGGGTTCATATTACAAGCCCAAATGCTTTGAAGTGCTTGGGATGGAGTCTACTGGGAAACAATAAGAAAACAGACATTCCCAAAATAGAGGCTTAACATTTTTCTTTCTTGTCATTTTTTAGCTTTCCAATGAACAGAAATATACTCTGCTCTAGACATCATTTATTTAAGTTGTCCACTTCTTAAAAATATTTTGTAGTAAGGAGTTATCCTAGTCTTTAATATAAACTTACATGATGTACGAGGCCACACATTACTGCTTTCCCTGTAAAGGGTACTGCTGGCCTTGATTTCTTTTGTTACAGCATGTTACTTTTTTTAACATTTTTATTTCCAAGGCCTCCTTTAAGCTCTTGATATCAAAGGTTGTGAATCCACAAAATACTTTTAGACAACAAAATTATTTCCCTGCAAGTTCTGTGCTTTGGAAGGAAGCAGTTCTGTGGATTACCAGTCACTTGCCTCCTTTTTCCTCCTAGGTCACAAAGATTTTGTAATTTTTTGTCTAAAATTAATCTCTGGATATTTTTAGAGAGAATTCTTGTTTGAAAATTCTTCTTTTCACCCTTGAAAGCACTGAGGCACAGATGTCAAATGCAAGGAGATCTCTAAGTGCCTGAGTCAGGTGCTTCAAAGCTCAAATTCTGTAGCTTGTTTCATGTTGGGAATATGTATCCCAGAGGGATGATCAGCAGAGATGTATATCTCTCTGAGAACAACTAACTAATCTCTTCCCCCCCCCCCCCCCCCCCCCTCTTTCTCACTTTGTTAATATGTCATAACTTTTTGAAAAGGAATAAACAGCCTGACTTACACTGGCCTACAGTCACACCATTTTTATCTTGAGCAGATGAGAATTGCTATAAATGTCTTGCTGTAACCTCTATTTTGGCTTTTATGGCCAAAGGTGGTGTGGAGCGGTGCGAAAATGTTTTGTTATAGCAAGTGTGGGTTCACTTGCTTCCCTTCTCCCCCTTCCCCAAGGATTTCTGACTGATTCTAGGGCCTGTTCTCTGTACTGAGATTCCAGTTTGTTGCTCTTTGCCTGCTAAAGGCGGAAGACTTCATGTGCCTTCCATTCTTCCTGATCATTTTTTCAGGGCAGGTAGAAACCAGACACATAAAATTTGTTTAGTTTTTGATCTAGACCATCCATGGTAACACTTTAATTTGTTTTGATATGTTAAAAGTTAAGTTTACTCCTAGTAGCAAAGCACTAACGCTCACAAACACAAAATAAATGAGTGTTTGGGGAATCTGATTCCACTGTGGATATTGGTTTTGGTAGGAGGGATTGCTATGATGAAGTTGAGCCTCTGAGGAGAAGTTTCTGATCTACGGGAGTGCAGCAGATAGAACTTCTCGTCCTTACACTTTCATAGTCATTTAGGGACAAAAATCTTCCAAACCATCCCCATTTTGAATGCTTCTACCATATCATTCTGTTCTTTTTGTGTCTGAATTAGAGGATGAAATTTTCTGCACGTCTGAATTCTTGACTTAAATGCTTTATTGCTAACCTTTGTCCCTTTTGTTTCATAGGAGATGATACTTTAAAGACATGGGATATTAGACAATTTAAAAAGCCTCTTAATTCAGCGGAAAGACTGCCCAGCTTCTTTCCAATGTAAGTACTCTAATTTATTCCAGGTAGTAGAAATAGCAGTAGTTGTGCTGAACGGGAGGGAGTCTACCAGATTTCTCCTCCTCAGTTCTGACTAGGTCCAGAACTGTGCAGAAAGGACTGCACAGGGAGGACTGTGCAATGAGGATTCTTGGCTATTTTAGGACTTCAGGTTGCTTTAAAAGATCTCGTATTTTTTGTGGTAATTCATAGCTAGCTTTCCTTGGTTTATGCCATTTTTCAGTCTCATATGTCTTATGTCTAATTAGATTAGCAACTTTTCAGGAGGAGGCCAGTTCATTGCCTTACGTTTGTGTAATGAGATATATAAGTAATCCTCATTCTTATTTGGTCTATGAGTAATAAAAAAAGAGCTGGATTGAAAAGTAGACGTAACATGAAGGTGCATGGTATGAATTCAGGATATGATGTTAGAAGTGCTGATGACTTTGTTCTTTGGTACTAAAATACTATATTGTACTGCATAGTGCTAAGTGTTGTATTTAATATTTTTATTGGTATTACCTGCATTTCTATAGCTGTAGCACAGCCAAATCCAACTCTAAGGAGAAATTATACTTTTGAAATAAAATCTTAGAAGGGCAGGTCATGGACAGCTCAGTCTTGACGGCAATTTCTAGCATAGAGGAAAAGTAAACAGACAAACATTTTTGGCCACTGTATAAACAGACTGCCTTGCATCATTGAAGAATGTATTGTCAGCAAAAACAGATTTCATGATTGATTTATTTTTTTACTTAATGATGATAACCAGATTTGAAAATACTTTTTTTTTGTTTGTTTCTCATGTTGAAAAGTTTACAAGACTTTTGAGCAGAGGAGAATTTTGTTGGGATGAGGATTTTTATTGGATCTGCCAGTTATGCGCATTTTGTGCGCAGCTTGTAATTGTGCATGTGAACTGTGTCTGTTAACTATAGTAATAGATGACAGCTGACAAAAGATTTTTTTTTTAAGCTTTATCTTGAAAGGATTAACAAATAGAAAGGATTATTTTAAGGAGTGCAATTTATATATAAGTTCCCTATATCTTAATTATTGATTTGCCCAATATGATGATTTGTTTTCTTCAACAGGACAGATTGTTGTTTCAGCCCAGATGATAAAATACTCGTCACAGGCACCTCTGTTAAGAAAGGTGGTGGCAGTGGGAAGCTTTTTTTCTTTTTTCGGGAGACATTCCAGAAGTTGTATGAGATTGAAGTTACAGATGCGGTATGTATTTTAGTTTTCTTTTTTCAACTATTCAAAATATGAATTAAATCATATTCGTATGCTTTTTTCCTATTTTACAGGTAATGATCTACTAACAGTACTGTAATTTTTCTAATCCATACTTAAGAGATAGAGGTAAAGTGACCTAAATAGGCGCTATTCTCCTTTCAATTAAAAAAAATAAAATCTTGGGAGAAGGTGTTCAAGCACTAGGAGATCCTTTCTTTGGTGTTACCATTGCATTTGTCAGGGATTTCTGTGAACCCTTCTAGATCTGTGAAGTGAGGCTTGAATCCTAAAATTCTTACATGTTTCTGCTGTTTACTCCACCAATTATCATGATGAAATGCCATATTGTGACAAAACTCCTACTTGTCCCTGAAACTAGACTTGTGGTTACTATAGAATGTATTTCAATAGGTTCTAGCTTGTGTAAATGCAACAATTTTGTGGCAAAAGAAAGGCATAATTAGGAATCCCTCCATCAAAAATACCATTCTCACCAGTAATATAAAAAACTAAAATTGTGAATCTGTAATACAGGAGGGTCTGTGTACAGCTTGAACTGCCTACCTATTCCCTTGTACAGAAGGAAAAAGCTTAATAACATAGCTGAAGAAACATCCTTTCACTCTTGTGGTGTACACAAGTAAGCTTATAGATTATAACAAACAGGAGTGGGAGAAATTCAAACAGAATTGCCATTGCTTAAGTGTGGCAATGTATGCTTAAGTCCCATTAGTTGTTGCAGTCTGTCAGATAGAAACTTTGTCGCTTTGTTTCAGGATACCGTTTTCTCCTTCTGCACTTTTCTTAACCCAGCACAGCAGTCTTTCCTGGCACAGCAGACCAAAACCCCTTGTGCTGGAGATAATTTATACAGAATTTACATTAGTATTTACTTTTCTTTTTAAATCCCATTTTCTCTTCTAATTCATAGTGAAGCAAAATCTGCTTACAGATGTATTTGTTATATCCATCATTTCTGTGGCAGCAGTCTTGCAAAGTAAAAATGCAGAATTCGTGTCAAAGCAGAAAACGTGTTTTTTCTGGAGGGGGAAAAAAACTCAGGTTTTATTTTAAACATATATTCTAAATACACTTTTTATATGACATTGGAAATTTTATTTAGTACTAAAGAATTTCTCTAAAGATACCATAAATTGGATTTTAAATTTTTCTCCTATGGAACATTCGAAGCCTCAACTTATCTCATGAGGATTTCTAGGGGATTTTTGTTTTCTAATACAAGTACTATAACTGAGTATTTATAACCTTTTTCTGAGACAAACCATGAATGCCTCAGTATCCCCTCTGAAACTTCATGACAGAGAAAAGGAAAACAACTACATAAGATAAAGTGCAAGACGTAGATTGTTGTAGGAGTTCTTCTGTCCTTGGGCACAGGAAACAAATAGCTTACCAATTCCATTCACAATGAATTTGGACTCCTTAGAGCTAAGTGTCTGGATGTGGTCATGATGGCATTTCCATTTAGTGGTGATAAAGTCAGTAACAGTGTACAGAAACTTCACTTGAGCTTTAGGACTGCAAGAATGAGAAGCTTGTTAATGGTGGATCCTGTATCTCTGAAAGAAATTAAATTGTGAGAATTACTGCTCACCAACCTAACTGTTTTGCATTCAAAGGAAATAAAATTTTCATTTGCTAACTTTGTCTCCCAGAAAAACGGTTCTTTAATTCTCTCAAATAGAGGGTCTGTTTACCTGCTGAGGTAGATGATGCTGTAGGAGAGTCCAGAAAATACTGTTTTGCTATCAGTTTCTCTCAGAATTGAGAAGTAAATTTCTGTTCTTCTGCTTCAAAATGCAAAAGAGACATGGAGCTGAGAACCAACAGTAGGAAATTGTTGGAAAAACAAAATTAGGGGTCAGTAAGCGACTCCACGGGGGCCACTCACGTAGTAAAATTTTAAGTATGTGTACAAATCTCAGCAGGTTCATAATTTTATACTATAAATTTATATAGGTGCTGATATTTATATGGTACTTTTTTAAGACTGTAATAAATTACTTTTTTCTATAGAGTTTTAGTGCTGCTGTTTTTCTTCATTTGTCGTTATAAAATTTAAGACTGTCATTCTCCTGCTTTGGATTTAATGGATCAAATGAAAATAATGGAAATACTAGGTGAAAAATTGAGACTTATAATTGCTGATCTTATGACATAATTTTCAGTGAGTTAGCACTAATAATACCTCTACAATCAGTCTGTCTAGCTTCTGGGTTCAATGCTACACATCTAAGAAAAACACAGTTAAGCATATCAACCTGAATCTAAAAGAATAAAAATTACTATAAGTGATGGTATAAAATAAAAGCAGTGTATTTTTTCAAGATATTTCTATTGTTTGTATCTTTTGGCTTTTTCATTAATGTTCTTTTCTCGTTCTTCTCAAATTGCAGTGTTTGATGAAATTAAATGCATAAAGGCATGCTAAAAACAAATGAATTTTCAAGAAGATGGCTTTTGTATTTTGTAAGCAGTACATGCTGTTTGTTGGAAAGATCACTGGCCTATAAATTGGTAGATGAATATCTTGTGTGTAGTTTATCACAGCATTTTTTCAGCAGTGCATTAATTACGTGCTTTCTATGGACTACTTTCCTGGTTTCCATTTTTCCCTTATACTCTCTCAAAAATGCAGATAGCAGTTAGTGTAATTAAAGATAAACACGTAACGTCTAAGACTTCGGTTTTTCTTCTGTAACTAAATATCATACTACTTTACTTTCTGTATGTTATCTAGTGCTTAAATATGTAATTTCAATGTTTCTGGTTTTGGTTTTTTTAGGCATTGCATAGATTAAGTTACTATGCCAATACGTGTAGTAAAAGCACAAACACACCACTGTCTGTCTCTGCAAAGAGCTTGATCTACTCTCGTTCCTCATGAAAATAATTTCAGTGATTTCGGTTGGATTTAGTCCAAATTGCTAAAGAAAAAAGGCATCATTAGTGATTTATTTCAAGTATAAAATGAAAATAATAAGACTTTTTGAGGGCAATTGTATACCAGTTTAGTGGTAGAACGTATATAATCAGAACAACAGAAAATGTACTGTGAAGAGAAAACATAAACTATTAATGTGTTTACTTTTTTAATTTCACAAGGTTTTTTTAAAGGAAATGCCGGCAAGCTTAGAAAATTGAAAACCACTAAAGAGCAGTAAACATTATCTTAAACCTCCTTGGTAAATAGCCAGTGCAATTGGCCTGTGAATGAACCTGGGGGGTAATGGGAAAATATTTAATGGGAATGTTTGACCAAAGCTCTGTCTGACATTCCTTTCCATCATACCACACAAACCTTTTTTCACCTTCTCTTTCAAGTTTTCATGGGAAAACCCATTACTGTTTCAGAGCTGCTGGAGTGAAACCTTGTGGTTTTACTAATGGACTAACAGTCTGATTAGTCTCTGCTGTTGTGGCTGGGTATAGAACATTAATTTGCTTTTCATTTCATATATTAGTCTGTGGCTAAACTAGTGACTATATTGTTGTGTCCACTATTGAATGCCATCACAGCATGTAGGCATTGAGACTTCTGTAGAACTCAAGCTTCTTGGATAAATAACAATACTTTTTGAAGAAAAATTAAATAAATGTCAGAAGTGGTGCAGACCGCGGGCTCCGTCTCTGGCTAGTAGCAGTGTGCTGGCAGGAGGAGATGTGAACAGGGCAAATACACAGTGACGCTTCTCTGGCTATCCTGTTCTGCCTCCGGTGATCTGTGACTTAGAGATATCTTGATGCAAGCACAGGAATTTTACAATTAATAGCACTCTGGATTTTTCTTCCAGGAGTTTATCAAGGAGTGAAATTACCCATGTTGCAGGTTACGGGCAGGGTCATTTACTTACTGCAGATTAGATGAAAACTCAGGGGTGGGAGCTCCTGCCTCTCCCACTCTCATAAGGAAGCTGATGCTCTGCGTGCAGTACTTAAGCCTTACTCTGGCTCAGTGTGTACAGGTGTGATTGGAAATTATGAGGGCTTTGTACTGTGACCATAGTTATGTATGCTAAACTGTACAGAATTCCTCTCTTTTTAACAAGAACTGAAATTTAAAAAATCCTGTTATGCATGTACAACTTTTTCATAGTTTTTCTGTTTCTTCTGTCTTGACAGTAGTACCTGTGAACGGTTCTTTTGGTCTCACCTCAAATATCCACAAGAAAATATATTTATATTACACTTTCTCAATTTGAGCATTTGAGGCTTATTTTATGTGAAAGATTTATAATTGCATGCAGAATGTTTCTTCACTCCATTTAGATGGATGAGGAGACTTAAACAGATGTCAGGAAATACAACTGCCAGATCAGGGGTACAAAGTGTATGCAAAGAAACACAGAGTCCCCATTTCCCTTCCCTTTCCTTTCCTCAGGTAGTATGAGAGGAAGGAAGACCTGTAGCTGCTTTGGGATGAGGACTCATCTTTTGGGATGTCTGTAACTGCACTCTCATTCTGGAATGGAAGGGAGATTTAGTTGTCAGATGCCAGTCAGGGAGGGTTTATTCCTAATTCTTGGTTTGGTTATGCAAGTATGAGATCTTCATGGGAACCAGTTATAAATACCTACTGTATGGGAAACAGAGTTGGGTATGCAACATTTCCCCCATGTCAATTTAATTTAAAATAGCTGTGGATAGCCACTTGAATCACTCTCACATGTCTATCATTCATTTGGCTAGTTCAAAGAGATCACCCAGTAGTTATCCTTATTGCAGACAAGATTGATTTTGGCAGCAGTAGAGCAGTGATTTTCCCCATATGGAGAGAAGTAGTAGTACGCCCCATTACTGCCAAGCAAGAGTGGGCACTGAAAAACAAAAAAAAAAAGTTCTACAATTACAGAAATTGCTATTTTTAAATGAAAATCTAAGTAATAATTAAATTTAAAAATGAGCCAAGATGATGAGATTGTGTACATTATAAAATGAGATGTGCAAGTATTTAAAATATCCCGCAGGTT